TCCTTGGAAAGCCAGAAAGGTGAAGCCAGGAAGCCCTCCGCAAGCCCACCACTGTTGAGATGAAGCAGGCAGCTGTGTCAGCGGTGTTATTTATTCTTTTATGTATAATAATAATAATAAATAATATTATTATTTAATATTATTATTTTATTATTAATAATAATAATTATTGACACAAATCAGACATCAGGAATAGTCACATACAAAAGCCAGTAGGTGAACACTTCAACCTCCCTGGACATTCTATAAGATTTGAAAGTAACTATTCTTGAATAAAAAAACTTCAGAAACAGACTTCAAAGAGAAACAGCAGAACTAAAATTCATTTGCAAATTTAACACCACTAATTTGGGCTTGAATAGGGACTGGGAGTGGCTGGCTCATTACAAAAGCAGCTTTGCCTCTCCTGGAATTGGCACCTCCTCATCTATTATTGGGAGGGGACTACATCCACCCTGATCGAATTGGCCCTGTCAACACTGATTCTCCACTTGTAGGGTATTCCTTTCTCTTCATGTGTCATTATATAATGCCTGCATCTGTAACTTTCATTCCATGCATCTGAAAAAGTGAGGTTTTTTACCCACAAAAGCTTATGCCCAAATAAATGTTAGTCTGTAAATTGTTTTAAGTTCTTGTCAGAGGGTGTTGATTTAGCACGGTGCTGTCTGCCACATTCATTTACAGCATCGATGACAAGGGAGTCTGGGAATTGGTGTGAAAATAAAAATCCGAGTCTTTAGAGGGAACATAATATTTTTATCTGCTCTCTTGCATGTGGGATGCATGTCTTTATTGGGTCCAGCAATGCCTCATTAATAGTGAGTGCAACACAGTCTTAGGATGAAGTATGTAGGATGTTGAGCAGCTTGTGTTGCAACACCTTGACTTCTTCCAGTGGAATTTGTAGAGAATCCATTTCTCTCTTGAAATGGTTTGAAGTCATTTGCCAAAGTTGGTGGGGGAGGCATAACAGCTTCATCAGGAGAGGATGAAGAGATGTTAGTCAGTGGAGTAATCCCTTTGTCTAATCTCACTGCCTGTTCTCCTCTGGATCAGGAGATCTAGACAGAAAAGCAGTAGATTTCCTTCTCCTATCCTGATGAGCAACAGTAGTGGCCCTCAAGAATTGGAGTCTATAGGCCACCCATGGGTCCCAGTATGGCCACTGAACATGTTGAAATAGATTTGATTCCCTGCAACTGGATGTGTAACCCACTGATGATGTTAGTTAAAAGTCCCCCTGTGGGTCAATTAACAGAGAATACAAGTTGTTACAACCCCTAGCAGTGGTGAACGACACCTTTCAGAGCAATCTCGCCTGAGCCAGTTGGAACCAGTTGTTATTACGCATAGGCTCATGTCAGACAGTGCTGACTGTGGGGTAGTGGAGATTGTGTTAAGATGACAAGCTATTGTCTTAAGTGTGAGGGGGCTCCTGGTCCTGCTTGAAGGCTAGGGGGCTCTGTAGGGAAGTGTCAGTGTGTGATCTGGGGCTTAAGAACATAGGAATGGCCAGACTAGTGGTCCAGCTAGTCCAGTGTCCTGTCTTCCAACGGTGGTCAGTGCCAGAAGCTTTAGAGGGAATCAACAGGACAGGTCAATTATCAAGTGATCCATCTCCTGTCCAGTTCCAGCTTCTGGCAGTCAGAGGTTTAGGGACACCCAGAGCATGGGGTTGAATCCCTGACAATCTTGGCCATTGATGAACCTATCCTCCAGGAACTTATCTAATTCTTTTTTGAACCCAGTTATATTTTTGGTCTTCACAACATCCCACGGCAACAAGTTCCACAGGTTGATTCTGTATTGTTCGAAGAAGTACTTCCTTTTGTTTGGGTTAAACCTGCTGTCTAATAATTTTACCTGGTAACCCCTGGTTCTTGTGTTGTGTGAAAGGGTAAATAACATTTTCCTAATCACTGTCTCTAAACCACTCATGATTTTATAGAATTCTATCATATCCCCCCCTTACTTGTCTCTCTTCTAAACTGAACAGTCTGTTTTTTTAATCTCTCCTCATATGAAAGCTGTTCAATACCCTTAATCATTTTTGTTGTCCTTTTCTGTATTTTTTCCAATCTAACATACTTTTTGAGATGGGATGACCAGAACTGCACACAGTATTCAAGACGTGGGCATACCAGAGATTTATATAGTGGCAGTATAATTTTTTCTCACTTATTACCTACCCCTTTCCTAATGGTTCCTAACATTCTGTTAGCTTTTTTGACTGCTTCTGCACATTGAGTGGATGTTTTCAGAGAACTATCCACAATGACTCCAAGATCTTTCTTGAGTGGTAACAGCTAAATACAAACTCCATTATTTTGTATGTAATTAGGATTATACTTTCCAATGTGCATTACTTTGCATTTATCAACACTGAATTTCATCAGACATTTTGTTGCCAAGTCAGCCCATTTTGTGAGATCTCTTTGTAATTCCTTGCAGGGAGCTTTGGACTTAACTCTCGAGTAATTTTGTATCATCTGCAAACTTTGTCATTTCACTGTTTACCACGTCTCCAGCAGCCGGTGTGCAAAGAGCCAGCCTAGAGAAGTAGGAGAAGAGTTGCGTTGCTCTGCCTTAAACTCACAGACTTTAAGGCCTGAAAGGACCATCATGATCATCTAGTCTGACCTCCAGCACATTGCAGGCCACAGAACCTCACCCACCCACTCGTGTAATAGACCCAGAAACTCTGGCTGAGTTACTGACGTCCTCAAATCGTGGTTTTAAAGATTGCAGGTCTCAGAGACTCCACCGTTTACACTAGTTTAAACCTGCAAAGGATCCATGACCCATGTTCCAGAGGAAAGACAAAAAAAAAAAAACCCAAACAACAACAAAAGAAACCCAACAAAACAAACCCAGGGTCCCTGCCAATTTGACCCAGGGGAACAGTCCTTCCTGACCCCAAATATGGTGTGTCTCTGTTTTTGGGTTTTGGGTGGTGGTGTAGTAATTGGGCCTGCAAATTTACCCTAATTATGAGCTCAACAATGAGACAGGAGTGAAAGCTCATAAAATGTCACAATAACCTACAACAATGAATGTGGAGGGGAAAAGATGCAAAGAGGAGTGAGACAGACTGAATTAGTCCAAACAAAAATGCCTCCTGATATAACTCAAAGACTCTGTTAAGATCATGCCTGGTAAACAAGAGACGTGTGGGATCAGAAATCAGTGCAACAAAATTTGTCAGAAATTAGGCCTAATTGGTGGACAAAATAATGAGCGGATGGACTATTCCACCCATCACTCCATTTCAGTGTTCTTAAAAAAAGATTTTGGCGGGAATACATTTGAACAGATGCAGGGTACTGCTATTTTGGCTGAAAGAAGGGGAAGGAGTGAGCTTCGCCACTATGGCTGCCACTCCTCCCTCCCCTGGAATCCCAGGCCTTCTTCATCCTAATCCTGAGAGATGTCCTGACCAGACCAGGCCAGAGAGAGGGACCCAGAAGGCAATGCCACTTCCACCAGCTCTGGCTGGCTCCTGAATACCACCTGCAATGTGATGTCTGCCCCCACCAATGTGTCCTTTTCCTTCTCTAAATTATTTCTTCTCTTTCCTGTCTCTCTGGCTTAGCTGGCCAAGAATGCATATTTTGCAGCACTGCTGTGATCCTGTGACCAGAGAGGCAGATAAAAGCTATGCCCCAAACAGTCTGATGCTGGTGTGATTTTTCCAAAGTGGATGATCAGATTGTGGGCTGGGTTGTGTTTCTCCGCAGTGAGGCTGCCAGCGAGAGTCAGCACCAGAACAGAAGCTGCATTTTCTCTCTTTGCTACTCTTCTCTCTCTCTCTCTCTCTCTCTGTTGGAAAGAGGTGCCGGCATCAAAGAAAAGGAGCATCACACACTGGACAGAGGCAAAGATGGGACAACTGGGGTCACTCTCGATTCTGCAGCGAGGGAGAGGAGGAACTGACTCCCTCCCGGGGTCACACAGCATATTGTCAAACTTCTTTTATTGTGAATGATGATTTACAGTTTAATTTTTTCCTAAGTGAGTATTTGATGTTACTTTCTATTCTATCATTATTCCATACTTTCTATTATAGTATTGTTCCTGCCAAATTTCTGGGGTTTTTCCTTTATTAAGTTTAAAATGTAAGGTTAACTCCATGGTGATGGTTTGCCTCCGCCTCTCCTCACGGTAGGCATAGCCTAGTCAAGACATGGGTCATTGCACAGTTCAAACCTGTCTCTACTAACATCTCTTCTTTTCTCAAAAAAGGACATTCCCATCTTTAACACCATCTAAGAGACTGTCAGCCATGAGAGGGGGGAGCTGTCCTTCTAAAGTCTTTCACTAAAGGCAAAGGGAACAGGGGATGTCATTAAAACAAAAGTTTCATGTAATACTTTACATTTCAAATGCTTTACCTGTTTTTCCTTCTTTTCTGTATTTTTAATGGTGTGTTTGCCATGGTACAAAGCAGGCTGAGGTCTCTGGATACCAAACCCCAAAGGTGTTTAACTCTGTTTAATGTTGGACAGTGACATGGTTGTGTTGTCACCTTTAACTGTTTATTCCATCTAAATTACTACAGCAGTGCTGGGGTTCCGGATTCCATGCAATTATGTCATGTTACGTTAAAAGCATAGATTCACTTGCTGGAAGCATGCATCTAACGTCTCTATGTATGTGCTGGGAGCGTAACACTCATCAGCAGGAACTCAGACACAGAAGTTCCCACTTCAGTCCCCAGTGTGTTGGCCAAAAGGGCAGTTTTCACATTCATGGGGCTTATCCAGTGTTCACATTGATTGGGACAGAGAAAGTACATAATCCACTGGTGCACGGGTCACAGGTTCCCCCGTCCCATTCCACAGAGGAGAGGAGCTGTTAGAGCCAGGCTCTCTAGCTGGGGCTGTGTGAATTGGCTCACAGGGGGCCTGTAACACACACTCACAGTGGGTCACATCCACAAGCCTGTTTTTAATTTATTATTATTATTAACAATAGTAGTAGTAATAATAGACACTCACGTATCTTTTTCTTCAGTTCAGCTTGCTCAGTGTCTAGAGGGAGAGAAAGTGACATGTAAGATTGCAATGTCACGTTTACCGTGATATCACTCCTGTTAATGAATGTCACTGGACTGTAATTACTAAGGCCTGGTGCTCAGATAGCATTTGTAGTTATGGCGGTTAGGGGTGTGATGTTTTACCCAAATAGTTATAGTGGTACAACCCCTAGTGTGGATGCAATTACACTGGGACAAAGGTGCCTCATAGCATTATAGCTTCTCCCCTTCCCCAATGGCAATAGCTCTACTATAATGCCCTTTGGGTCTAACTAGCCTCACCAACCACCAGGGAGCCTCATAAGTCTTGCTGGATATGGGAGGGACCTTGATGAATAGCTCCTGCTCCTCGTTGCCTGCAAGCAGGCCTGTTCAATACACGGAAGTTAGCAGGTAGCTTGGGCAGTGGATGGGGGCTGAGTTGGAGCTCAGGAGACTTGGGCTCTATTCCCAGCTCTGCTGCTGACTTGCAGGGTACCCTTGGGCAAGTCCTTTCCTGCTTTGTGCCTCTGTTTCCCCTCCTTCCCTTCATGTGCCTGCCCTAATTAGATTATAAACTCATTGGGGCCAGGACTGTCTCCCAATAGGTGTGTGTGGTGTTCACAGGTGCTAGTGTGACACAAGTGACAATACAGATCCATGCCCAGTTTTCCCGGTCTCATTCCTGCTTCAGTCTGAGTGACCCCGACACCCACTGAGTACCTAGGGTCTGGTACATTCTATTCTACAATGCGCCCCAAAGGGGTGACTTTGGGCATGTCTCAGTTCACACACACAGTTGTGGCTCATCCAGGACACCCCCCTGCCCCCAGGGTGTGTTCAGCTCCTCTCTTCCATGGCTCATTCCCTCTCCCTCCAGCTCTCTCACTGACTTCATTCAAACCTCTCTTCATGGCACGGGACTGAAGCCCCCTGACAACCTTCTCTGAAGTCAGGAGACCCTCTCTCCGATCCGACAGCATTCCTTCCCCTCGGTCACCCTACCTTTTGCTCTGTGCTGCTTCCAGAAGCAGTAACTGGCCAAAAGGATGAGAAAAAACACACCAGCCAGGGTCACCGACAGAGCCACCTGGTAGGGAGAGGTCCTTGGGAGGAACACATCTGCAAGGAAAAGTTGCATTGATTTGAAACCCAGACAGAATCGATGTGGCAGCAGCAGGAGTGAGGGGAGCCTGCAGCATCCTGCAGTGATCTGGGAGGATCTCACAGACATGTTTGGTCTGGTTTTTGAGAGATGAGAAGTGGCTTCTCCCATGAGGCTGAGTCCAAGCTTTATCCTGGTCACTGAACTTGGCTAGGCCCTGGCTACATTGCGGATAGGCCGTCTGTTGTGAGACCGTTTGTTCTGCTGGTGCCGAGCACTCTGGCCTGACCTGCTCATGTCTGGCCTTAGGGGTGGGGCACCTGGGAGACTGCCCAGGGCACTGTCAGAGCAGCTCACTGCCTGCCAGCACGGGAGTGCAGCAAACTCCCGGAGGCACCGTGAGAGGGGGCACCCAGATTTCTCCTGTTTGGGGAACCGCAATGCACAGATACTGCGTGTCCCCCCCATCATTCTTCTGTGCCCCCCAGGGGGCTGTGTGGGTGGGGGCAGAGCAAGGAACAATGCCAGAGCTCCCTGCACTCAGGTCACTTTCCCCATCTGGGTGTGCTGTGAGGCATCAGGAGCTGCTGCTCTCTGCCTTCCCCTTACCCAGCTCAGGGGAGGAAAGTGACCTGGATGCATGGAGCCATGATGCTGCTCCTTGCTCCCCCCCAACAGCCCCCTAGGGGGCACGGAGGAAGGGGGGGAACGAGGAGCAATGTGAGCGAGGAGTTGGAGGGGGGAAGCGAGCAGCAATGCCAGCTGCCCCTAGCATCCAGGCCACTTTCCCCACCTGGGTGCAGGAAGAGAGAGTGGGGGCTAAGAAAGAAGGGGTGCAAAGGGAGTTGGGGAAAAGGGGATGCAGGGGTGGAGCACAGGAGTGTTGCTGAGGTTAGGGGTGAAGGGGGTGCAGTGCAGGGGCTGGGGCACAGGATGGGAGTGCAGGGCTTAGTTGTGAAGGGGGTGCAGAAATGTTTAGGGGGGATGGGGAATAGGAGAGGAGAAGGGAGTGCAGAAGGTGGTTGGGGACGAGGGGCGCAAGAGAGTTAGTGGAGAAGGCAGCACAGTGCAGGGGTTGGGGTGCAGGAGGGGAGTACAGGGACTAGGAAAGAAGGGGTGCAGAAGGGAGTTGGGCAGAAGGGCTGCAGGGGTTGGGGCACAGGATGGGTTCAGAGGTCGGGGAAAGGGGGAAGGGCAGGGATTGAGGCACAGGATGGGAGTACAGGGGTTAGAAGAGGGGCGCAAGGGGCTGGGTAGAAGGGGGAGCAGGAGGGGTTAGGGGAGAAGGGGTTTTTTGTTATTATTGTTGTTGTGTCTTTTACAAATAGTTTCACACATACGTCTCAAATTAGAAGTGTGAAATCCCACTTAGTTTTATAAGTGAGTACCACTTCTCAGCTTCTCTGCACTAGCACAAGATGGGTCCATCTCTCCCCCCACCTGCCTGGTTCTCTCCTTCCCTTACTCTATTCTTGGGAAGAGGCAATGGGACCCTGGGGCTGTGGGGAGCCGGGGGAGCCCGTGGAGGCCAGGGGCAATGGGAGGGCACCCACAGAGGTCAGGGCAATAGGGGGGCACTGCATCCATAGGGGCCAGGGTGCCAAAATACGAAGTCACCCAGGGTGCCATTTTCCCAAAGGCCGGCCCTGGACCTGCTATGTGCAGCTTCGCTGTTTTCTCTTGGCCGAGACGGGGGTTGATGACAGAGCAGGACAGGTTCTGTTTCGAAGCATCTGTTATAACAGCAGCAATGTGAGTATCAAACAGCCTGTCAGCCTGCTGGGATATTTTCTCCATCACTGGCGCTAGTCGCTGCCCACTGAGGTCTCTCCACAGCACTTGGGGCTCCGGATACCATCCAGCCGATTCACACACCACGTGGATCCCTCCATCCTGATAGCCATCGACAGAAAGGTGAGGGGTGGAACCCAGACCTGGAGGGGAATGGAGTGAACCTGTGTCACTGCTACACCCTGGGCCCACTAGAGAACTGCACTGGTGCAGACTGGAGTGCTGGGACTGTGGCAGTGTGAGCCCCAGCGGTGTAGCATTGTCCTCACTTGCCATGATGTTACACATACAGATCTACCACCTGTCCACACACAAAGCTCCGGTCACCCCCTGTGGCTGCATGGACCTCAGGGGATCTATCCCAGAGTTCATAGAATCATAGAAGATCAGGGTTGGAAGGGACCTCAAGAGGTCATCTAGTCCAACCCCCTGCTCAAAGCAGGACCAATTCCCAACTAAATCATCCCAGCCAGGGCTTTGTCAAGCCGGGCCTTAAAAACCTCCAAGGAAGGAGACTCCACCACCTCCCTAGGTAACGCATTCCAGTGCTTCACCACCCTCCTAGTGAAATAGTTTTTCCTAATATTCAACCTGGACCTACCCCACTGCAACTTGAGACCATTGCTCCTTGTTCTGTCATCTGCCACCACTGAGATCAGCCGAGCTCCATCCTCTTTGGAACCCCCCTTCAGGTAGTTGAAGGCTGCTATCAAATCCCCCCTCATTCTTCTCTTCTGGAGACTAAACAA